CTGAGTAGCTGGGATTACAAGCACGCGCCACCATGCCCAGCTAATTTTTTGTATTTTTTTTTAGTAGAGACGGGGTTTCACCGTGTTGACCAGGATGGTCTCGATCTCTTCACCTCGTGATCCACCCACCTCGGCCTCCCAAAGTGCTGGGATTACAGGCTTGAGCCACCGCGCCCGGCTCTGCCCATATTTTTAAAAAATATTTCTTTAATAGAAATAGGGTCTCACTATGTTGCCCAGGCTGGCCTCAAACTCCTGGCTTTAAACGATCCTCTCGCCTTGGCCTCCCAAAGTGCTGGGATTACAAGCATGAGCCATCATGCCTGGCCTTGATCCTGTCCACATTTTATATCCAATTGATAATCTATAGATAACTATAATACAAACATTTTATATCTTGTCATTTCAGTTAGGCATATTAAATAAAATTTACTAGGAAGTCTGCTGACCTGCTCTTACTAGAATTTCTGCTGGGATGATTTCAGGTATAAATTTAGGTTAGACATAACCCCCAAATGGTTTGAAAAATGAAAACCAACAAGAACCTAACTATCCTTTTCGCAGGTCAAAAATTTCCCAAGCTACAGTTAAAAAGAAAAGGTTGAAATAGAAAAGACTGTGAGATTTCTAAGAGCATTCCTACATATACAGTGTTTTTTGTTTGTTTGTTTGTCTGTTTTTGAAATGGAGTTTCGCTCTTGTTGCCCAGGCTGGAGTGCAATGGTGCGATCTCGGCTCACCGCAACCTCCGCCGCCGGGGTTTAAGCAATTCTCCTGCCTCAGCCTCCCGAGTAGCTGGGACTACAGGCACATGCCACCATGCCCAGCTACTTTTTTACTTTTGGTAGAGACGGGGTTTCACCATGTTGACCGGGATGGTCTTGATCTCTTGACCTTGTGATCCGCCCACTTCTGCCTCCCAAAGTGGTGGGATTACAGCTGTGAGCTACTGCACCCAGCTGGTATAGAGTTTTAAGATAAACTGGCAATACATGTGGTTTTTACAACAAATAAACAAGGTTAACTTATTTATAACATAATAACTTAGAGCTCTTAGTATGAGAAAAAAAGGATGACTTCAAAATGTCTAAATTATGACTGAACTTGGGAAAGCAAATAGCATTTGTAAATGAGAACAACCCTGAAAGACACAAAGCCGGTGGCCGCAGCCCCCTTCCCTGTTCTGCTTCGGGGTGGGTCATCTCCAGGCCGGAGTGCTCTGAGAGCTCCCTCTCTGCTCTGCCCTCTGCTCCCATCGCTCCGTCGTCCAAGTGCTGTGGGCTGAACTTCCTGACATGATGGCCACTCTGCTCAGAAGCCCTCTAGACCATTTCCCACAAAAGGACAAGCTCCTGAGCTGGACATTCATGGGGTTTTGCTGGGCGGTCCCATATTGGCCCTTCGAGCCGGATTTCTCCTGACTCTGGCCACATATCAGCTATGCGTGAAGCACACAGAATGGCCTGCCACTCCTGAAATTGCCCACACTCTCCCGATGCAGCTCTTTTCTCATTCTGTTTCCTCTGGCCAAAAGTCCCTTTCCCTGCCCTGCTAGAATCCTACCCGGCTCTCAACAGCCCTTCTCCAATGCCACCTCCCTGTGAGATCTTTTATTCCACTGGCTGTGATCCTTCCTCCTTTCTTACCTCAATGCACTTTTAAATTTATTATTATTTTTTTATTTTATGGAGATGAGGGTCTTACTATGTTGTCCAGGCTGGTCTCGAACCCTTGGGCTCAAGTGATCTGCCCACCTCAGCCTCCCAAAGTGCTGGGATTATAGACAAGAGCCACATGAACAATTTTATTACAACAAAATCATAAATAGCCCCAATAGGTTTTATATAAATTAGCCCCAGGAAAAATTCCTTCTTTTGTGAATGCACTCCCAAGTAACAGGAACCCCGGCTAAAGAACCCAAGGTGTACTTTAATTACAGTCTCCAAAAATGAATAAATGAATAAGTAAGTGAATGGATTAAATGAGACTTGACTCAGAGTTTACTTAATGCCAGTGCCTCTCAAAGAATCCATGGAGAAGGACTGGTTCTGAAACATTTCCTATCTGTTGCAGACTGATACTCAGCTGCAAATACAACAAAAACTCGGTGGCAATATCTAAAAGTGGACATAAACTTTTTTTTTTTTTTTTTTTTTTGAGACAGAGTCTCACTCAGTGTAGTGGCGAGGTCTGGGCTCACTGCAACCTCTGCCTCCCAGGTTCAAGTGATTCTCCTGCCTCAGCCCCGTCAGTAGCTGGGATTATAGGCACGTACCACCACGCCCAGCTAACTTTTGTATTTTTAGTAGAGACAGCTTTCTCCATGTTGCCCAGGCTGGTCTCGAACTCCTGACCTCAGGTGATCTGCCTGCCTCGGCCTCCCCAAGGGCTGGGATTACAGGCATAAGGCACTGAGCCTGGCCTAAAAGGGGACATGCACTTTCTGTACTTATTTGTCAGGGACCAGTCAAGCTCTGTTTCTCCAAATCCACACACATTCAACATGATACAGATGCAGGGAAAGGGAGGACAGATGCCTACCTTCTGCTCTTGTGCCTCAAACACTGCTTCATGGACGCTGCAAGCAAAAAGTGAGGTAGGCAGATCACTTAAATCCATCATCTCATCCAAATCATCTTCATTTTCACCAAAAATCATCTCTTCTTCCTCTTCTTGGTCAGTGCTACACAGATCTGACTGGCTATCATTCCAGGATTTCATAGTGTCCCTCAGCATTGTTTTGCAAAAGCCAGTCTTTTCCGTCTGAATAATCCTAGGATGTCTATCAGGCACCCACTGTTAA